GCATCACGCCGTGGCGCCTCGGCGAGGACGGCCGTCGGAGCCAGCGTGTGGCAGAAGCGCCCGGGCGAAAGCCCCCGCGCGCCGACCGAAGACGCCGGGGACCCGGGCCTGTCCCCTCCGCGGGTCGGACGAACGGGGGGGATGGGAGGGGTGCGGTGTCTGCTGCGTGCAGCTGGTTTTGGCCCCGCCGCCCGGCACATCGCTCAGCACATGGCCGCCTCGGCGCCTGGAGGACGAGGTGCATGCAGCCGATTTGCCGACCCCCCCGTCGAGAATCGCCCCCCCTGGGGTCCGTCCCGACCATCCCAGTGTGCATACGAAGCTGGCCCAGAGAAGCTGACGCGCTTCGATCCGGAAGGCTGGCGCCGAGGCGATACGAAGCGATGCTGGCTCCATCTGCCCAGATGAAGTGCCCTCGACTTGGATTCTGCCGGCGCCGTAGCATTGGCATCGCTTGTCACCCCTGCAGGGCTTTCTCCCCTCGTCTCTTTTTCCCGTGGCCATTTGGAAGCCAGTTTCCGCAGGAGAGCTGCGGGACGACCGCACCCCATGACCAGACCGATGGAGATCTCCTCGGGGGATGCTCCAGTTTCGCACGCGGGAGGGAGCGCAGGGCGTTCATGGCCCGCATTGCTACGGCGTCTGTGGCGATTGTCATCTCGATGTGCCGTCTCTGTCTCCGTCGCTGTTGCCGCCATTGTTGCGTGCCTTCGTCTGCGACCGTTCTGGCTTCAGATCTTGCTACATGTATTCCATATCGAACCAATACTGCCGCGCTGTGCTCACCAAGAGCGGGCGCCCCCATCGTGTCAATGCCGGGGAGACGCGTGAGTGTCCGACCAACATTGTTCCATCGAATTGTCAATGCGCCAGAGAAGAGGGAAACTGTGACTGAGTACACCGTTCTCGCCTTAGGTCGCCAGTGGGAAACACATCCGTATCCACGGCCTCGCCGTCTGGATTTCTCGGCCGCGGCTCCAGCTATGCAGGGCGCTTTGCGTGGATGCCCTGCGCGAACCGTGTCCACTGCATCGCGTATCCATGGGATCGCGCCTCGGTGTCCAGACCGCGAAGGCATGGATCTGGATACGTTCGTCGCTTGTGATTAGGCATCCTCACGAACTTCATCTTTGTCATCGGCTGCGTCTTGTTCTTCGAGTACTTCTCCCCCAGGTCCAGCCTCCCAAATGGGTCCGAGGAAATCGTGTCGGAATATCGCGCCACATCACCCAAGTATCGGCGATGCGGCTCAGTGAGGTGCATGGTTTTCTCTACGCCGACGTTGCCGATGCATCGCCAACGTCACCGATGCATTACCGATCCATCGCCGATGCATCGACGCGGCGTGATCCTCCGACCCCACCTACTCGGACCCCAGTTGGGAGGCCACCACCAGGGTCAACAACATTGGGCTCACGCTGTTTCTGATCGGCAGCCTCATGAACGTGATGTTGTCCGGCTACGTCATGTGGGAGCACCGCCACGCGCGGGAGTCATTCGAGGGAGTCGCTCGAGACGAGTTTTTGGAACACCTCCTCTACGTTGGCTCTGGCATCTTGTTCGCCGCCGGCTCGGTTCTGTGGTTTCCGCTGTGGGGCGACGACGAGACGCACATATTCGTCGGCCACGCCTCCAGCGCCTGGTGCTTCATCTGGGGCAGCCTCGTGCTGGTCCTTGCCAGCGTTTGGAACGCGTTCGGCCTGGTGGACGAGCACCTGAAGAAGGACGAGCTGCCCACCCCCACCGAGATCATGTGCCGCCGCCTCGCCGCCATCGCGCTCTGCTGCACGGCCGTCGGCGGTGCTTTGTTCGTCGCTGGCTCCTTCATGTTCCGCCCAGCGTTCGAGAATGACTGCGTTGCGGAGAAGAGGGCGGTTGGCCACGAGGAAAGTCCAAGTCGCTGGAGGCGTGGCGACCACGTCGGCTTCTTGCAGGCGGGCGCGAGCATATGGGACCCGCCAGACCCGTCGCGCGTCAAGGCCGGCTCCAGGGTTGAACTTACCGCGATGTGCCTGGGCATCATCAACCAGGGGACCTGGGTCTATCTGTGGGGCTGCATGCTGTTCTTCGCGCAGTCGCTGATCAGCCTGGTCGTCTGCATCACCATGAACACGGCAGATGCGCGCCCGAAGATGAACCTTGTGATGAGCAGGCGCGCCGTGCAACCGCGCACGGTGAGCACGTCGTCGCAGACAGAGGGCGCTCCGCCGGCCACTCCCCCGGCTAAGCAGGAAAGCGGGACAATGGTGAAGAAGAGTGGTACTCCGGGGCAACGTCAGGGGGTGATGGGGGATAGGCTCAGGGAGGGATGCAACGACCCCCAATCGCCCATTGGTCGCCGATGGGGCCCGATAGCCCCAACCTGCCCAGGACCATGCGGACTCGCTGTCAGGGGCCCATCGCCGACCTATCGTCAATGTATCGCCGATTCCAGTTCGATGTTTCCACCATGAGCCGGCCCCCCCCTAACGTTGCACCTCAGGTACAGGACCGGCGGCAGACAAGCAGGTGTCTTTCCACCATAATGTCGGCGCCATTACGGAGGTCCATGAGATTGTCGCCAAGGCGGCGTGAGGCATCGTCGGCCTAGCCCGCGGTAGCTGCGCTACAATATTTCGAAAGTCCAGCGGTAGCCTCGCACATAGCTGCCAAACCGTAATTCGCTCCGTCAGATGGTGGCCGATGCGTGTCGGCGGTATCACCTCTTCTTGCCTCTCCTTGTATCTCGCTCCTCAGAGGCGCCCACGAGACGGTGGCGCGAGGGGCGTGTGCTTCTGAGGATGAGGCCCTGGAGGCTTCCAGGAAGGCCTCTGCGAAGCCGCCCGGTCCCTCTAAGAGGGCGTCCGCCTTCCGAGAAGCCCCAGCACCTTCTCCAAAATCCCCCCCTCTCCCCGCGCCAGTCGCCATGGGGGAAACGGGTCCTGAGGGAAACGGATCCTGAGGTTTGTCGCCGTCATTGGCCTTCTGGGCCCTCCACGGGCCCCAGGACCGTAGGACAATTATTCGGGATGAACTGGTCCTGGGGGAAGGCCCCATGGTCCGTGACCTGTGTCCCTCAGGACCCGTTTCCCCTCCGCGCCAGGCCCGCGTGGGTGCCGCCAGGCTTCGCTCCGAGAGGCGGCATGCCAGCACGCCCAGGCGCCCGCAGGCAGAGGCGAGGGAGGCGGCAGGGAAAGCAGGTGCCGCCTGAGCCGCCCGAGTTCGGGGCTCAAGAGACGGGGGTGAGCGCGAACGGTCGGGGGTTGCCAGAGGTGCGCCTGGCCCAAGGTGCCCCCAGCTCTTCGCTGAATTTTGGTGCCCCTGGGGCCCTTCGGGCCTCGTGAAGCCTGCTCTGCAGGCCGCGGGGGCCTCCTTGGAAATCCTGGGGGCACCTTGGGCCAGGGGCACTTCTAGCAACACCCGAAACAAGGGTCAGCCGCCAGAGCGCAGGATCTTGCAGGATCCTGCAGAGCAAGGGGTGCATTGGCCATGGCTTGCGCGCAGGATCCTGCAGGACTTGCAGGATCCTGCAGAGCCTGACTGACACTGGTCAGTGCGTCTCCGACGAGGCGAACTTCCACTCCTCGAGCCGCGGGCCGCGCCGCTTCTGGCCCATCTGCGGTGGCGCCGTGAGCACGGGTCTCGGACCTTCTTGGGCGCTTGTTGGGCGCCTTCTGGCTTCCAAGAGCCTTGCTGAGTGCTTCTCTGGGGCGTCGTTTCGCCTTTCGGGCCCCAGGGCTATCACAGATCGGTCTGGCTCACAAGGTGCCGCAGAAAGATGGGGGTCCAGGGCTCTGGTCGTGAGCGAGGTTGCAATTTTTTCGCAGCGTCGAACCTCGGGGATCAGCCACCACTGCCCTCGCTGTCCCCAGGACCCCGAGTGGACCCCTGGAGGTCTCGACCCCTTCCCCAGGGCAAGGTGCCTCCTCCCGAGCCGTTCTTTTGACGGCCCTGGGGCCCTTCGAAGGGCCTCGAGAGGCCGAGGGTGGCCAAAACGCCTCTCGTCGTGAGCTTGTTTACGACTTGAGGGGGTCTGGGTCCCCATCGTGGGAAGCACCTCCTGGAAGGTCCAAGTCAGCATCGGCGCTGGAATTTCCGTGGTCGGATACCAACCTACTCGGCACAATCCTGCCTAAGCCCTCCGTTCAATCCCGCTTAATCAGGCTTATGAGGCCGGCTTGCTCGTGGGCTTAATCCAGCCAGGTTCGGTTTAGTGGCCCCCGAATCGGGCTAAGTAGCTCTGAATCGTTTTTTTACAGAAGATCTCAGAGAAGTTACCCCCTAGCCTCTCACGCCTCGGTTGGGAAAGGTGGGAGCCACCCGAGACTGCTAGCCTCACATAGTAGCCGTACTGGCGTAAGTTGGGGCCCGATTGCTGCTATGCTGGTTTCCAGCCCGTCGAGATCACTCCAACGGCAGCCAGCGACTGGTCTGGGCCCTCTCTTGTCGAGGAGCAAGATCAAGCATCGAGCCAAACGCAGAGCAACCAGCTAGACATGGATGGCAACTCAGATACTGAAACATGGGTAAACAAAGAAGAAGTTACGGTGGGGGCGTTGGTTCAGGAATGAGTCCAGGAGGTGTCAGTCCCTGGAGGATCCATTGCTGAGGGCGGCAGTGATACACCATGGCCAGTCCATGATTGGAGCTCCACCGGCGTCCAGACCCTGGATTCCTTATCCAATGGTTCTTTGCCACCGTACCTCCTGACCATTGCCATCCCGTGGGCGAAAAGCATGCCCGTGTCCGCGGCCTCGCGGCCCCGGCCCCTGGCCCGCGACCCCGCGGACGCCTGTGCCTTTTCGCGGACGCCCCGCGGGGAACGGCTCCGTGCGACCGCGTACCCGCGGGATCGCGCCCCGGAATCCAGGCCGCGAGGGTGCGGGTGTGGGTGCTTTCGCCGCGCGTGACTGGCCGTCGCCATCGTCCGTTCAGGGCCATCTTGGCACAGTCCTTCGCGCTCGGGCAGCGCCTGGCGAAGCGCGGGCCTGCAGCGGCGCGCTGCTCCGGGGCGGGGCCCCATGGCCGAGCAGCCGGCCCCCGGCCGGCCGTTCCTGGTGGTGCTCACGGGCGGCCCGAGCTCGGGGAAGTCGTCGGCCCTCGCGCTCCTGAGGCCGCGGGTTGCGCAGGGTCCCGCCGGCAGATGTCAGGGAGGAGGGGCTCGGGGTCGAGGCTGGAGCCGCTTTCGGGCCTCGTGGCCCCCCTCCTCCTCGCCCTGGCCGGGCGCAGCTCTCCGCCGGGAGGAGGGGCTCCACAGGGAGGGGGCGGGATCGCCGTTCGAGCCGTCCTGGGCCTCCTGGGTGCCATCGCCGCCACGGCTGGGCGCAGCCTGGGGGCAGAAAGCTTGGCGTCATCCTTTCCTCCTTCGCCGCCCCCGAGATCTTGGCGTCGCCACGTCTCCACAACGGGCGACTCTGCCTTGTTTCGGGCCCGGGGACCTCACGGATCGATCCGGCTCGAAAACTTGCCGCAGAAAGATGGGGCCAGGGCTCGGGCAGTTCTTTTTGTCGCTTTCGATGTCGCATTGTGTTTTCGTGGCGTCGGATCTCAGGGTCTGTCCCTCCTCGACCCCCGCCCCCTTCCCCTCTCTGCCTTCCCCCTCCTTTCCCTCTCCCTTCTTTCCCTGCATCTTCTGGCTTCTCCTCTTCCCCCGGGTCAAGGCTCGTTGGAGCCGAATCGGCTTTGGCAACGCCTCGGATGTAGCTCGAGGGACTGTTGCTGGCTGACGGCGTTGCCGCTCTCTGCCTCGCCCCCGCGAACCGTTGGTAGAGAGAAGCGTCCCTCCCTCCCCCCGAGGCGGGACTTTCACACATGACCACCGCCTGGAGGATCAGTTTTCGGGGACCTCGCAGGCGGTGGATATGGATATATTCGGGCCATATCCACCGCCCGCACCAGGATGTCGTTTCCCAGGCGGTGGATATGGATAAATCCCCGCCTCGCACTCCCCCCTCTCTTGCCCCCCTTCTTTCCCTCCTCCGGATGGGGGAGGGAGTCGTTTCTCCCCCCTTCGAACCGAAGGTAAAGAGAAACGTCTCTCCCAAATGGGATCGAACCTGGTGGGGTCAGAGGATCGCGCCGTATCGGCAAAGCGGCTCGATGTGGAGCCCAGTTTTCTCCATGCCGGCGGCACCGATGCATTGCTCACCGAGCGCGTTCCTTTACTCGCAAACTTCAGGAAAAACGCATGCCTCGATCTATGTATTGGATCGTTAATCCCCCGCGGCGCATGCAGGCCGTTTGCGAGTAGTTACCTTGAGAGTAGTGGAACGCGCTTTTCTATACGTGGGTTGATTCACCCCCTTGCCCAAGAGGAGATCTGACGAAGCTGTCCTCGGGGCCTTCTGGGGGCTTCTCGCAGCCGACGTCGCCGATGTGTCGCCAATGCGTCGGGTATGCATCGGCCATGCGGCGCGATCTCCCGATATGTCTCTGCTCCCACCCCTCTCAGGAGAGGAAAGAAGCACAGACGCAAAGAAACGTCGATTCCCAGGAAAATATGGGAAATGTTGGAAATTGAGGGGAAGACGAACATCCAGGCAGTGCGGGAAATATGGGGAATCCTGGGATTTGCGTTTTTTATTTTTGTGTCCCTGGGCCCCTTCAGAAGTCCCGGCCCTCTCTCAGGGACCAGCTTTTCAGCCTGAGTCGTTTTTCGACGGTCCCAGGGCCTGGCGAGGGCCCCCAGAGGCCGAAAGCGACGAAGCACTTCCGCCGTAGTGATTTTTTTCAGTGCGTTGGAGGTCCTGGTCCCCGATGGGGAGGGAAGGGCAGCAGGTGCGGACGAAGGTGCGGACGCAGGTGCGGACGCAGGTGCGGACGCGGGCTTCCGCCCCCCCCCCCTCCGTCCCGCGAGGGACCGGCTCTCCGCGAGGGGGTTCCAAGTCCTGACCGTCCCCGAGAACGCGACGCACTTCCTCGCCAACAGCGACGGCTTCCAGCCCGAGTGGGCCGGCACGGACAAGCAGGCGAGCCGCGCCAGAGAGCCGGGGCGCAAACGCGCCGACAAAGCATGGGCTTCCCAGACCCCCTCGCGTCGTTAAAAATCTCGACGGGTGATGATTTTCGGCCCCTGGGGGACCTCGCTGGGCCCCGTGATCGTCAACAAACAAAGCCGGTCCCCTGGAAGGGGTCTAGACCTTTAGGGGTCCACGTCATGATACAAATGCGACGTCGGCGTTCTGGGTGTTTGGGTTGCGCACGCTCCGCTGGGCCTCCCAGGAGCAGCCCACGAGAGTGGCGAGACAGTTTCGCAGAGCGCAGCCCCCCCGGGTGACGGCGAGGTCTCGTGGTGATCTGCGTAAGACGCACCTCCGCTGGGGCTCCCAGGAGCCCACGAACGTGGCGACAGTTTCGCAGATCGCAGCCCCCAGGGGACGGCGAGGTCTCGTGGTGATTTGCGTAAGGCGTACCTCTACTGGGCCTCCCAGAAGCCCATGGCACCTCCGCTGCGCAAAAGTGACGACACCCGAGCGAGCCGCGAGCACAATGCAGGACACAGGCAGGAGGAGAGAGGGAGAGGATGCAGAAGGGAGGAGGTAGGAGGAGGAGGAGGGCGAGGAGAAGGAGGAGAGGGGCGGGGCAGAGCTCTATTCAGGACGAGTACCCAACCAAGGGAGGGTTGGGAACCAAGCTCTGGGGCTGGACCCGGCCCCAGCCCTGGCCCCAGCCCAGCCCCAGCCCCGGTCCCAGCCCCGGCCCCGGCCCCGGCCCCAGCGGGCCCCGGCTCCAGCCCCGGCCCCGGCCTCGGCCCCAGCCCCAGCCCGAACCCTCTCCCCCTCCCCCCCTGGTTCGATCTTGGGGGGAGGGGGGGATATTGCACGCCCCCCTCCAGTAGTTCGAACTGGCGGGGCGTTCCCCGACCCCTTGGTTCGAACCTCAGGGCGGGGGAGGGGGAGAAAATTCACCCTATTTGACTTGGTGTTTTCTGTGAGTGCAACAAGCTTTGTTTTGACCAAGTCAATCTACACATGAGCCGTCGTACGAGCTGCGGACATATGTACACGCACGCATGCATTCATAAAAACATCTGCAATCCTCCTCCTCCTCTTCTTCCTCCTCCGCCGCCGCATCCTCCTTCTCCTCCTCCTCCTCCTCCCCCTCCTCCCTCCCCCTCCTCCTCCTCCTCCTCCTCCTCCTCCTCCTCCTCTTCCTCATCCTCATCCTCATCCTCATCCTCATTTCCTCCTCCGCCTCCTCCCCCTTCCTCCTCCTCCTCCTCCGCCTCCTCCTCCTCCTCCGCCTCCTCCTCCTCCTCCTCCTCCTTCGCCTCCGCTTCCTCTTCCTCCTCCTCTCCTCCTTCTCCTCCTCCTCCTCCTTCCTCCTCCTCCTCCTCCTCCTCCGCCTCATCTCCTCCCTCATCCTCCTCCTCCTCTACTCCTTCTCCTCCTCCTCCTCCTCCTCCCTCCTCCTCCTCCTCCTCCTCCTCCTCCTCCTCCTCCTCCTCCTCCTCCCCCTCCTCCTCCCTCCTCCTCCTCCTCCTCCTCCTCCTCCTTCTCCTCCTCCTCCTCCTCCTCATCCTCCTCCTCCTCTGGACAATGGACACCAAGGAATGCGCTCATCCTGTGGGTCACGAGCCCGTTCAGCCTTTCTGGGCCAACGGGGGACCCTCTTGGGGAGCTTCGGGGCAGTTTTGGAGGCCATCTTGGGCGTCTTGGAGGCCTCTTGGGCTTTCTTGGAGCCCTCTTGGGGCCATCCTGGAGGCCACTTCGGGCGTCATGGGGCCCTCTTGGGGGCTTCTTGGGCGATCTTGGGGGCCTCTTGGGCCGTCTGGAGCAGTCTGAATGCCGAGAAGAAACAAATTCCAAAATCCTTCAACAACCTAAGGACAATCAATGATGTTGGCCTCTTCGGGCCCTCCTGGAGGACCTCTTGGAGCCCTCTTGGGCCGTCTGGGAGGCCTCCAGGGGGCCTCTTGGGCCGTCTTGGGCCGCCTTGGACTCTCTTGGGCCGTCTTGGAGGCCGTCTTGGGCCATCTTGGGCGGACTCGGAGGCCATCTTGGACCATCTTGTAGGCTATCTTGGGCCAGCTTGGCCATCTTGGAGGCCATCTTGGAGTGTTCCCCGAATCGGTTTGGAAAGCCTTCGGGGAACACGTGGGCGCCTTGAAGGTCATCGTGGCCGTCTTGGAGGCCTCTTGGGCGATCTTTCGGCGATATGTGGGGGCTCTTGGGCCGTCTCGGGCCGTCGGAAGGCCGAAAAGGAGGACATCTCAAAATCCGTTAAAAACCTACGAATAATCAATGTTTTTGGCCTCTTCTGGCCTTCCTGGAGGCCCTCTTTGGGGCCTCTTGGGCCCTTTCGGGCCAGCTTCGAGCCAGCTTCGGCCATCTTGGTGGGTTCCTGGCACGTCTGACGCCGTCGGGAGCAGTCTTGGGGGCCTTTCTGGGTCAACGGGGGGCCCTCTTGGGGCGCTTCGGGGCCGTTTTGGAGGCCATCTTGGGCGTCTTGGAGGCTATCTTGGGCGTGTTGGAGGCCTCTTGGGCCGTCTTGGGGCCCTCTTGGGGCCATCTTGGAGGCCACTTGGGCCGTCATGGGGCTCTTCTGGGGGCCTCTTGAGCGATCTTGGGGGCCTCTTGGGCCGTCTGGAGCCGTCGTAATGCCGAGAAGAAACAACTTCCAAAATCTTTCAAACACCTGAGGAAACTCAATGATTTTGGCATCTTCGGGCCCTCCTGGACGACCTCTTGGGGGCCTCTTGGGCTGTCTGGGAGGCCTCTTGTGCCGCCTCTTGGGCCGTCTTGGGCCGTCTTGGACTCTCTGAGGCCCTCTTGGATGCCGTCTTGGACCATCTTGGGCGGACTTGGAGGTCGTCTTGGAGGTCATCTGGAGGTCATCTGGGGCCGTCTTGGAGGTCATCATGGCCGTCTTGTGTGGCCGAACGTTGAGGCCAGACCTGCCAAGCCATCGGACCATGTGTTCCCCGAATCGGTTTGAAAAGCCTTCGGGGAACACGTGGGCGTCTTGAAGGATATCTTGGCAGTCTTGGAGGCCTCTTGGGCGATCTTTCGGCGATATGTGGGGGCTCTTGGGCCGTCTCGGGCCGTCGGAAGGCCGAAAAGAAGGAAACGTCAACACCCGTCAAGAACCTACGGACAATCAATGTTTTTGGCCTCTTCTGGCCTTCCTGGGGGGCCCTGAGGCAGAAAAAGCAATAAAAAGCAAACACACCAGGGAACACACAAAACAAAGCAACAAAAAGCTGAGACTCTCTGCGATTTTCAAACCTGCCATCATAATGTAATTGATTTTAATTATATTCTGGTCGTGGATTTGAAAAACGCAGAGAGTCTCAGTTTTTTTTTTTTTTTTTTTTTTTTTGCGTTTTCATTTTTTTTTTTTTTTTTTTTTTTGTGTTTTTTTTTTTTTTTTTGTTTTTGTTTTTCCCCATGGTATTTTCACTGGGCCTCTGGCCCTGGGTAGGCCCAGTAGGATATCAGGGGAACAAGCAAAAAACAGAAGACGCAAAACACGAGGACAACGACAAAAACATAAAAAGTGAGACTCTATGCGTTTTTCAAATGTAGTGCAATTGATTTTAATTGTACTCTGGTCGTGGATTTGAAAATCGCAGAGAGTCTCAGCTGTTTTTTTTTTCCCCCTTTTCACTGTTTTTTTGTTGTTTTTTCCCCTGGTATTTTCCCTGGGCCTCTGGCCCTGGGTAGGCCCAGGAGGATATCAGGGGAAAAAGCAAAACAAAAAACAAAAGAAGCAAGGACAAAACAACACAAGCAAACCAAGCTGAGACTCTCTTTGTTTTTTTTTTATTTTTGTTTTATTATTTTTTTATTGTTAAAATCTACCATTCGAATGTAATTGCTTTTAATTGTATTCTGGTCGTGGATTTGAACATCGCAGAGAGTCGCAGCTGTTTTTTTTTTTTTTTTTTTTTTTTTTTTGTTTTTTGCCTTTTCTATGTTTTTTGTTTGTTTTTTGTTTATTTTGTTTATCCCCTGGTATTTTCCCTGGGCCTCTGGCCCTGGGTAGGCCCAGGAGGATATCAGGGGGAAAAACAACTAAGGAAAAATCAGAAAAAACAAACAAACACAGCTGGGACTCTCTGCGTTTTCAAATCTACCACCAGAATGTAATTGATTTTGATTGTATCCTGGTCGTGGATTTCAAAAATCGCAGAGAGTCTCAGTTTTTTTTTTTGCTTTGTTTGCTTTTTCCATGTTTTTTGATGTTTTGTTTTTCCCCTGGTATTTTCTCTGGGCCTCTGGCCCTGGGTAGGCCCAGGAGGATATCAGGGACAAAAAGCATAACAAAAAGCAAACAAACAAAAGAAAACAACAAAAAAGCAAACACAGCTGAGACTCTCTGTGTTTTCCAAATCTACTACCAGAATGTACTTGATTTTAATTGTATTCTGGTCGTGGATTTGAAAGTCGCAGAGAGTCTCAGTTTTTTTGTTTTTGTTTTTTTTTGCTTTTTCCTTTTTGTTGTTTTTGTTTTTTTCCTTGGTATCCTCCTGGGCCTCTGGCCTTGGGTTTCAAATGGAATTCCTTTTGGGAGGATTGCAAATTTAATCGAATTGTAATCCGCCAAAGGATCTAATTTGTGGAGATTCAAAAAAGAAAAAGAGAAAGAGAGAGAGAGAGAGAGAGAGAGAGAAAAAGAGAGAAAGAAAGAGAGAGAGAGAGAGAAACGGAAAACAGAAAAAGAGACGGAGACAGAGAAAGAAACGCAAACAAGCAAGAATGACCCCAAGTCAAATAGGGTGCATTTTCTCCCTTTCGGGGTGACCCCCGTTTCAGGGCAGGGGGGGGGGTCCTCCCCTCCTCCGTCTCCTTGGGAGGGGGGGGACATTTTACACCTCCCCCCCCTTTCGGTTTCCAGGAGGGGTGGGGCAAGTTCTCCAGTGAAGCAACAGCACCTCAGAAACTGCGACGCCCAGATCTCGGAGCACCCAGGCACCCACCACTTCGAGTTTTTCCATGCGTGGCACCCCAGACTTCTCTAACCCGTCGCCAAAGCCGCTGTCCCGTCGCCGGGCAGCTCTTGGCGGCCCCAAGGCCCAAGGCTGGCCCCCAGAGGCCAAAACGATGGCGACAGACTGTTCGCCTCGACTTTCTCAAGGCGCCGGGTGCCTACAGACTGGCAGGGCATGGGCGGGGGCACAGGCGTCCCCTGGAGGGCGGGCTGGACTCGGGAGGCACTTGCCCCGAGGGCTTCTTAGAAACATCCCTGCTTCTTAGAAGGCGCGGGACTTGTCTATAGATGTAAGGCTGGCGCCTTCTAAGAAGCAGCCTCCGTCTAAGAAGCCTTCCCCCCTCCCTCCACCCCCTTGGTGCGCGCCGCCAACAATCGGCGTGGAGCGTCCGTTCAGGGCACCGCCTCCTGCCTCCGGCGGCGCCTGCCCTGGGCTATATCCTCGAAGGCGTGTGGAGGGCAGCCAGGGCCACCTCCGGGGGGCCGTCCTGCGCGCAGCTCTCTCAGATGGCCGGCTGCCCTCGCAGAGGTCGGGGTGGCCAGCCCGTCGCCGTCGGTTTGGGCCTCTGGGGGCTGGTGTCTTGCCTCCGGGGGCGTCAAGAAGCAGCGGCTCGGGGCGAAACGCCGGCCCTGGGCAAAGAGTCGAGAAGTCCGACGGCCCACTCATAGGAAACATCGAGGCACCATATGTCTCTGCTGGGTTTTTGTTCCCCACATGTTTCGTGGGGTTATGGTTTTCTTCCCACCCGCGTCGCACCCGCGTCTTCCTCACTTCCCGCCTCCCCCTTTCTCCTCCTCCTCCTCCTCCTCCTCGTCCTTCTTCCCTTCACCCACACGCAACACATGCACTGCACGTGCATCAGACACGCGTCTACTTGCAGCCGCACGCATGCACACACGCACACACACAACATACACCATACAACGCTGGTGCACGCCTGGCGTGTTCATGGCATCATACACCCAAGACCTATGCACAACATATTGGGCACCCACATAAGGTACACGTCCCGATTCGGCCGCACACCCATCATACATATACACATCACACGCCATACACAAATCGCACGTGTAGGATGCGCAGGGCACGGCAGGCATGGCACTTTCTCGACACCAGAGGGAGTGTGTTGGGGGTGGTTCCTGAACGCGGTGTATGTCTACGACACTGTCGCAAAGCCTAGCAGGCGTGGCATGTTCGACACCATCGGGGGGTGCGCACGAGGTGGTCCCTGAGCGTGGCCGCTATCCGTGCCGGTCGTCCAGGGCGTAGCAGGCGTGGCACTTTCCCGACACCATGTGGGGTTCGCACGGGGTGGTCCCTGAGCGCGACCGCTATCCGTACCGGTCGTCCAGGGCATGGCAGGAGTGGCACTTTCTCGACACCATAGGGGGTGCGCAGGTGGTCCCTGAGCGCGGCCGCTTTCCGTGCCGGTCGTCCAGGGCGTAGCAGGCATGGCACTTGGGGGGTGCGCACGGGGTGGTCCCTGAGCGCGGCCGCTATCTGTGCCGGTCGTCCAGGGAGTAACAGGAGTGGCACTTTCTCGACACCATGGGGGGTGCGCATGGGGTGGTTTCTAAGCGCGGCCGCTATCCGTGCCTGTCGTCCAGGGCGCAGCAGGCGTGGCACTTTCGACACCAGAGGGGGTGCGCACGGGGTGGTCCTTGAGGGCGGCCGCTATCTGTGCCGGTCGTCCAGGGAATGGCAGGAGTGGCACTTTCTCGACACCGTAGGGGGTGCGCAGGAGGTGGTCCCTGAGCGCGGCCGCTATCCGTGCCGGTCGTCCAGGGCATAGCAGGCGTGACATACTCTCGACACCATAGGGGGGCGCAGGTCGTGGTCTCTGAGTGCGGCCGCTATCCGTGCCGGTCGTCCAGGAAATAGCAGGCGTGGCACTTTCTCGACGCCATAGGGGGGTTGCAGGTCGTGGTTTCTGAGCGCGGCCGCTATCCGAGCCGGTCGTCCAGGGCGAAGCAGGCCTGGAGTATTCTCGTAACCTTAGGGGGGGGTCGCACGTGGTGGTTTCTAGGCGCGGCCGCTATCCGAGCCGGTCGTCCAGGGCGCAACAGGCGTCGCACTTTCTCGACACCACAGGGGGTGCGCAAGGAGCCACCAACATCATTCTCACATGCTTCACTTCAGCTATCATCACTCCAGCCTTAAAAAAAAATGTGGGGTTCGGTAGCGTAATTTTGGGTCGGGGGGGTCGGGCTAGTCTGTCCAACGAGGACCTCCTACCACGGCGGAACACCTTGAGAGAGCTGCTGCCAGAATTTCTGGCCCTGATCGGCGTTGGCTGCCTCCTCCTCGTCTTCCTTCCCCCTCTTTTCTTGCTTCCCACAGCCACGTTAGGGATCGTATTCGTGACTGACTTGATCACCTTAGGGCTGAAACCTCCTTGCTTGCCTGGCCCAGCGTTTTCTTCAGCAGCTGCTTGGAGGCTGGACGGGTTTCTAGACTCCTGCGCATCAGTGAGGCCATCATGGCAGGGATGGCTCAGCGTTTGCTCAAGATTCTACCAGAGAGTCGGTCACGGTTTCTTGTGTCGATTTGTGACCTGTCGAAAACTCGACCGCAAGGCTGATCTTGCAGGGATGCAAGAACATTGCAGAGCTTCGCACGAGGAAGAGGAGGAGCAGGAGGAGGAGGAGGAGGAGGAGGAGGAGGAGGAGGAGGAGGAGCAGGGGGAAGAGAAGAAGTGAAACGGCTCAGGTCGAGATGCAGCGCATCTTTCTGAACTTCCAGATCTCACAGGAGGAGTCCTTCAAGGCCTTCGCGGGCCTCCACCCGACGAAAAGGGCCGTGCTGCTGCTGGACTGCTGCACCATCAACTCGAAGGTCTACGTGAGCGATGAGCAGTGGCCGCGCGGACTTGGGATAACATATGCACTGCATGAACTTTTTCGTGCCCCCCCTCCCGCCTCCCCGCCCTCTTTCTCTCTTGCCATCTCTATCCTCCTCTGCCTCCCCGCTGCTCTCTCCTCTCTCCTCTCTTTCTTCCCTTCTTCCCGCCACTCTCCTTTCCATCTCCGTTCCCCTTCCCTCTCCTCTTCTCCCCCTGTCTCCTGCATCTCTACCTGCCCAGGTTGCCTCCCTTCTGTTTTTACCCCCCTCCTCCCTCTCTCTTTTTCTTTCTCTCTCTCTCTCTCTCTCTCTTTCTTTCTCTCTCTCTCTCTCTCTCATCTTACTTCCTATAGATAAAGTTTACAGTTCTCTCTCTCTTTCTCTCGCTCCCTCTCTCTCTACATAGTCACATGTCCTCCTTTCTTTCACTCTCTCTCTCGCTCTCTCTCTCTCTGTCTCTCTGGCTCTCTTTTTTTGTTCTCTCTCTATCTCTCTTTCTCGTTTTGTGTGTGTGTGTGTGTGTCGTCGTTGCTGCTGCTGCTGCTGTTATTGTGATTGTTGTTTTTGTAGTTATTGTTGTTTTTGCTGTTGCTGTTGTGGTTGTTGTTATTGTTGTGCTTGTGGTTGTGGTTGTTGTTGTCGTTGTTGTTGTGGATGCTGTAGTGGTTGTTATAGTTACTGTTGGCGTTTTTTTTTGGGGGGGGGTTTTTGTGTTTTTTGTTTTTTTTGTTTGTTTGTTTGTGTTGTGTTGTTTCGTTGGATACTCATTTCTAGAGAATAATTATTGTTGATCTCCGGGAACGGTTCCGCGCGCTCTCGCCTCGACCACGACCTCTGAAGACGAGCTCCCGCGCGAGCGTTGGCTTGAGTCTAAATGTGGGCTTCTTGAGGCCCAGCTACGACGACAACGGCTCCTGCTCGATACGTCCTCACAATTTACCCAGAGACACTCTGGCCAGAGAGGCCCCCGAACTCAGGAACGGCGCTCTCGCCCGAGAATTCCTCGCAATTCAGTCAAGTTGGCGGAGGCCCAGCCACGACGAAGGGCTCCTGCTCGATCCTTTCTCACGCTTTACTCGGAGAGCCCCTGGCCAGGAAGGCTCCCGAACTCAGTAACGGCGCTCTCGCTCGAGACTTTCTCGTAATTCAAGCAGGTTGGTGGATGCCCAGACACGGCGATAAGGGTTCCCGTTCGATATTTCTCCATCGGTATTCAAAGAGCCCTTGGCCAGAGAGGCCCCCGAACTCAGGAACGGCGCTCTCGCTCGAGACTTTCTCGCACTTCGGTCAGTGGCCGACAAGGAAGAGATTCCCCCCGAAGGGGGGTGCAATCGAAGACGAAGTGGGGGGTATCGAGGGTTGGGGTAAACGGAATGCAAGACGCGCGTGCCAGTAAGCGCGAACAGTCTTAAACTGATTGTTGCTGTTATTGTTGCTGTTATTGTTGTGGTTTTGGTGTTGTTGTTGTGGTGATTGTGTTGCTATTGTTGTTGATCTTGTTGCTGCTGTCTTCGTGTTTGTTTGTGTTGTTATTGTTGTTGCTGTGCTGCTACTGTTGGTGTTGCTGTTTTCGTTGTTATTGTTGCTGCTGCTGTTGTTGTGGTTGCTGTTGTTGTTGTTGCTGCTGTTGCTGTGGTTGTGGTGTTGTTGTTGTAGTGATTGTGTTGCTATTGTGGTTGATGTTGTTGTTGTCGTCGTGTTTGTCTGTGTTGTTATTGTTGTCGCTGTGTTGCTACTGTTGGTGTTGCTGTTGTCGTTGGTATTGTTGCTGCTGCTGTTGTTGTTGTGGTTGTTGTTGTTGCTGTTGTTGTTGTTGTTGTTGTTGTTGTGTTTGTTGTTGCTGTGGTTGTTGTTGTTGTGGTTGTTGTTGTTGTTGTTGTTGTTGTTGTTGTTGTTGTCGCTGCTGCTGTTGTTGGTTGTTGTTTGTTGTTTTTGTTGGTTCTCTCTCTCTCTCTCTCTTCCTCTCTTCTTCTCCCATGCCCACACATCTTCTGCTACACGCATTTGTATACCTCCATCACTACATCAACTCTCTCTCCCTCTCTCCTTTATCCCCTCTCTCTCTTCCCTTTTTCTCCCCTCTTTCCCCTCCACCCTGGAAGGCCTGGGTCGACTTTGAGGTTTTTGGGTAGTTCCCGGGAGAATTTGATGGAGGGGCGTTGAGAGGCTCTCACGCTCGCTCTGCTAGCTCCGTGTGCAGGTCAAAGGTCCTCGGCCTGGCGGGTCACGAGCCCTGGACGGAGGAGGCGCTGTTCGCCCGCTACGACCTCGTGGTGCACATGATGCTGTGCCCTCAGCGTCATCTGATCGCGAGACGCGATCACGTTGACGGCCGATCGCGGCGATCGCCGCCCCCTGCCTGCCCCTGCGCCCTGGACCTCATGCTGCTCTCTGGTGGCCTTCGACCCGTCCTTCCACCGCGCCGCTGTCGTGGACGAGGGGCCTCTTGGGTGCCTCTTGGGGCCTCTTGTGGGGCCACTGGGAGGCCTGGCCTCTTTGCGGCCCTGCTCGGGGCACGCTGCGGCCTCCTCGGCGTCTCCTGGGGCCCTCCCAGGGGGCCTCTTAGAGGCCTCCTGGTCGTCTCGTGGGCCGGGGGTCGAGGGCTCCAGATTGGTAGTTCGAGTTCCCCCCTCTTGGGCCCTTCTGTTGGCGACAGGATCATGGGGAGCAGGAGCAGGAGCAGGAGGGGGGAGCAGGCAGTGGAGCAGGAAGGGCGAGGGAGGAGAGCGAGGAGGAGCAGGAGGAGTGGGAGGAGGAGGCCGAGGAGGAGGAGGAGGCGGAGAGGGGGGGGGGGAGGCAGGGGGGACGTTGGGGTCGGTTCAGGCGAGGTTGGCTTCCCGAGGCCCAGGCGGCACCCGCCAGGAGCACCCAAGAATTCGGGCAAATTGGTGGTCCTGGCCCTTCATGATCCCACAGTCCCGTGAGTGTTCTGAGCCTTTGGGCACTCCGCCACGCGCTGAAGGCACTGTGGCGCGTGTGGAAGAGGCAGAACCGTAATTGGGGCTGCGCCGTGCTCACGGGCCAGCGCCCCAGGACTACGGCGCCGTTTTTTTCAAGTGCGTGTGTGTGTGCCTTTGGGGTGCGAGGTGGGGCAGGGATCGAGACATCGTCTCATGGCCTGCCGCCGATCTGTTCCTCAAGGCCCACGTTCTCCGGTCCGTATTGGCGGCTCTGGCAGCTGATCAGCCATTCCAGGCTGGGCTGCGCATGTTGGTTAGGGGGTGTCGAGGTCTTGCCCGAGCTTTGAGGAGGCACCAAGCATGAGACTGTGGTACCCCTGCTGGACCAGCCAGGAATCGTGCACATGTAGGGCTTCTTAGCCTGGTCTGCCTGAACATCCTCTGGACCCTCCACGTTGAACTTTTTGGGTCTTGCTCTTAGGCCTGCTCCCTCTGCTCTGAGGTGCAGCTTCTTCTGGCCTCTTTTCCCAACGTCCTGGCCTGGGATTGCGGCGTCGCTGCTCACTTCGTGATCGCAGCGACTGCTCATCGTGACTCGCCTTGCCCGATGACGCGGTCAGCGCAGCCCGAACAGGCGATCCGTCCGCGACCAGGGTCGGGAGAGGAGCGATCGGGACCGTGGTCAAACTACATGCGGGGTAGCCGTCGGCCGTTTGTCCGGCCAAGCAATGAGGACGTGCGCCATGGAGGGGCACTACGAGTGGGGGCCCGGCAGCAACAATCCTGGCCGCTACCACACGCCGGAGCAGGCCAAGGAGCAGGATGGGCGCTGCTTGCAGGTCCGGAGCGGGCGCGCTCACATAAGATAGACAAGCATACGCAGAACAAGGGCCCCTACCTAAATACGTCGGTGATGCGTTCGAGGAACATAACCGCATAAACATACGTTTTCGGAGGTCCGCGCGTGTTTCTCGGGTCGTCGCTGGGCTCCCCTGGCTGCGCCTCTGGTTTTATTCCCAACCCTCCTGAGTGTTGGACTGTTGTTTTGAATAGAGCACTGTTGACCCCACCTCCTCTCCTCCCCCTCGTCCTCCTGCCCCCTGTTCCTGCCTCCTGCTGCGCTGCTCCCTGGGTGGCTGCGAACAGTGCAACTGTCGCCACTTTCGTGGGCTCCTGGGAGGCACGGTGGAGTCGGGGAGTAAACTGACTATTTGAGACCTCGCAGCTCCCTGGGTGGCTGCGCACCTTTCAACTGCCGCCACTTTCGTGGGCTCCTGGGAGGCACGGCGGAGTCGGGAAGTAAACGGATGGTTTGAGACCTTGCAGTTCCCTGGGTGGTTGTGAACAGTGCAGCTGTCGCCACTTTCGTGGGCTTCGTGAAGGCACGGCGAAGTCTGGGAGTAAACGGACCCTTTGAGATCTCGCAGCACTCAAGGTGATTGCGAATAGTGCAATTGTCGCTACTCTCGTGGGCTCCTGGGAGGCACCGCGGAGTCGGCGAGTAAACGGATCCATTTGAGACCTCGCAGCTCCCTGGGTGGCTGCGAGCTGCGCCACTGCCGCCACTTTCGTGGGCTCCTGGGAGGCACGGCGGAGTTGGGGAGTAAACTGACCCTTCGAGACCTCGCAGCTCCCTGGGGGGTGTCCCAGCTTGGTGTGTGAGACTTGTCGTGCCTGGGACGGCTTGCTGACGCAAATCGGTGTCCCAATTTGGTGTGCCTTTAATGATGTATTGAGGTTAGTGTGCCTGCGACGGTTTACTAATGCAACTCGGTGTCCCAGTCTGGTGTGTCTGTTTTGTCGTGCCTGCGACTGCTTACTGACGTAAGTCGGTGTCCCAGTTTGGTGTGTCTGACTTGTCGTGTTTGTGACGGTTCACTGGCGCAAATCGGTGACCTTGTTTGGTGTGTGTGTGTGTGTAATGGTTTAGTGGCGTCAATGTGTCTGCGACGGCTTACTGATGCAAATCGGCTCCTGGGAGGCACGGTGGAGTGCGGGAGTACGTGGACCTAGCCGAGACCTCGCAGCTCACTGGGTGGCTGGCTGCGAGCGCAATTTTCGCCACTTTCGGGGGCTCCTGAGAGGTCCAGCGGAGTCGGGGGTCACGCGGACCCAATGGGGACCTTGCTGCCCCCTGGGAGGCTGCGAACTGGCCAATCGTTATCCTTTTCGTGGGCTCCTGGGAAGTTCAGCGGGGTCGGGGGCCACGCGCACCCACGCTGCTCCCTGGCTGGATGCGAGCTGCGCAACTGTCACCACTTTCGTGGGCTCCTGTGAGGTCCAGAGGGCTCGGGGGCCGCGCGGATCCAGCCGAGACCTCGCAGCTCCATGGGAGGCTGCGAACTGCGCAGCTGTCGCCATTTGCGTGGGCTCATGGGGGGCACGGCAGAGATGAGGGTAGCCCTGACCGTGCATATTGGCGATGTTTTTTGATGTATGGAGAGTTCGAGCAGCTGCTCGTCTCGCGTGGAGAAGGGGTCGGATACGTCTCGGGCAATTCAGGTAAATCCGCGCGGATCCAAGCCATCCGCGCGGACCTTTATGTTTGTGCAGTTTTCCTTCTTCTTCGGCAACGGGCGGGGCCTCTTCAGCGGAAGGCCTGGTTGACATGACGTTTCGCCGACGCTGGTGCAAGTACAGCAAGATTGTTATGCCAAGCGCGAGTGGGGAGGAGAGTTGACGGAGGATCCTTATGGGTTACCCTGCTTGTCGTTCACTGCTCGCACGTCCTGTTCTGCACGCGCCGTCTGCTTGATTTGTCCGTCGCTAGGCCCAGGTCGGCCTCGCACCCTTTTTTCACGGCAACGCTTCAGCCCCGTCGCCTAAGCCCGACCGACGTAAAAAAGTTTGCGGAGGAGGGAGGGCGGGAGGAGGGAGGGGCGCGGAGCAGGGGCGCCAGCAGGAGCACGATAAAGATCGGGAGGAGCACGAGCTGGGTTCAGAAGCGGACGCCAAGAGGAGGGGCGCGAGCAGGACATTGAGGCGGACGGGGGGAGCATTTTGGGGACAAGCGGGAGAAGGATGATGAGGAAGGAGGTTTCACAAGGCGGAGGATAAAGAGGAGGAGGTCGCGTTTCTTTGCTTTCGCTTCACCAGTGGGCCGATCCCCGAGAGCGGGAAACACCGACAACAACGGCAGCAGTGGACATTACCACGATGCAACATGCCGAAACAATGCAACGGGCGACCATGAACTCATTCGAAGATGCGCAGCCACATAGGATCACATTGCCAACGCAATCGTCCATTATCTTAGAGTGATTCCTGCAGTGTGTAGAGTGCCCCTTTCTGCCCCGCAGAGTCCGGAGCTCCTGGAGGCCCTCAACATTCCAGTGTAGTGCCCAATGGGCCCGCAGTGCCCCACAGTCCACACGTTGCCCACATTGCTTTTCAGCGCCCCACAGTGCCCACATTGCCCACGCTGCCTTCGATGCTAACAGCTCCCGCATTGCCCACTTTTTTATATCGCGCACACTGCACAGGGCCAACACAGCTGACTTTCCCACAGTGTTCACGTTGCTCATCCAGACCCGCCCTTCCGTCTTGCCCACGTGCTCCAAGTTGCAGCGCTGGTGCCTCATACAGGCCCACATGCCACCAACGGGAAATCATTCATCAATAGGGCCATGCGTGAAGTGATGTCCAGAGGGGGCGATTTTTCTCTGGTTGCCCACAGTGCCGTGCTGCGCCTGCGTCGCCAACAGTGCCCCCCCCGACTGCCCGCCAATGCCCCACGTTGACCCTTCCAGTCGTGGGAGGTTCATGATGTGGCCATGCTTTTTCCCAAGGTAATTGTAAGATTTCGTCTTCAGGAACGATCGGGAAATTGTGAAGGCATTTCGCGCCAGGCGCTTCCGCACTCCGATGCGCTGTATGCGCCCTGGCCAAATTGGCGCCCAGCAGTGTGTGGCTGTTGCCCAGAAAGAGAGCCGATCTCCTGTGCCTGGACGAGGCTCGTGGAAGGCGGTGGAGTGGCGTGAGCAGACCGCCTAAGCCATGCAAAGAGCCAGCGACCGTGACGCAGGAAAGTCGCGAGGACTTGTAACGCACCGCAGTTTCCCTACAACGACAGAACTATCCTGACGGAGGACCCAACCGTATGCAGTTGCGACTGCCGCACGACATATGATGATACTGAGGTGGGGCGAACAAGAGATCTGGGACTTGGGCGAGAGGGGCAACGACAACTAAGAGCAGGGGGTTCTGGAATCAGAAGTGATGTAGAGAAGCGATGGGGCTCCTCTACGGAGGTCACGAAACTTACGAGAAGGGTGCCGAACTTGACCCGATACGCCGTGCGACCGCTGTCACTGGGGCCTTCGGTGCAGCTCTGTATGGGGCCACGGAACGTGTGAATGGTGTGCCGAAATGGGCGGGTTGACGCTGTGCGAACTCTGCCGCTGGGGCCTTCGGTGGACCACCCGGTGGGGCCACGCTGGGGCCGTCGGTGGAGCTCCTTGTGAGGCCACCAAACGTGTGAGGGTGTGCTAAAATGGGCGGGGAGACGCCACGCGAACCCTTCCATTTGGGCCTTCGGTGGGGCTTCCTGTGGGGTGTGTGCCTAAATGTACGGGGGGACGCCATGCGAACCCTGCCATTTAGGCCCTGGGTGGCTCCCTCTGGGGCCACGAAGCGTGCGAGGGGTGCGCCGAAATGGGCGGGGGTCGCCACGCGAACCCTGCCATCTGGGCCTTCGGTGGAGCTCCCTGTGGGGCCCCGACACGTGAGGGGGGACGCCATTCGAACCCTGCCATTGGGCTATCGGTGGAGATTCTCGTGGGGCCACGGAACGTGTGAGGGGTGTCGCGAAGGGGAATGGGGGAAGGTGGGGAGGAGAAGGAGGCGCAGCGCTGCGGAGTCAAGACAAGGAGCCAACACCACATGGTGGTTGGTACACATGTCCGCAGCGTTAAGCCGAAAGGCGCAGTTCGCGACTAGTTTTTGGAGTTTGAGTTGTACTGGTTCGCCCACCTACCTCGAAGGTTGATCGACCTCCCACCCTGACGCGTCGATTAGCGAATTTTGGCCGTTTTCGGTTTCCGAGAGGGCGTCGCGGCCGTTATTTTTGCGGGTCCAAGTCCGTCGGTTTCGGTCCTACGCCGTTTTCGCTAAAGACAGGTTTGCTAAAGAGAGGTTTGTCCACCGCCGACTACCGCAGGACAGAACTCTGGTTAGAGGCTGGTGGACCATCCCATGGGGCTTGCGTAAAACATGCTAGCAGCCGTCCTCACTGACACTAGGGATCCGGAATCCAAAGCGACCGAAGTCGTCAAATCTTGCCGAGCGTCCGCACAGAAGCCATGTTCCCCATGACCTTCGTGTTGATTGATTTCGCCCCCAAGGTATTTCAAAGCCACCCCCAACTTCGTGTCGTTCCGCACTGCCCCGACTTCAACGACAAGATCGAGAAGGTGGCGGAGTTTGTGAACGACGCGTTGCAGATCGAGGGCCTCACTGGGCGCCGAAGGCGGAGGACATGTCGGGTGGTCGAGGCCGAAGCATTCGAAAAGCTCGCGCACGTAGGCAGTGTTTCGGCTTCGATGGTCAGCTCGACGTTCGTGGACGATGGCATGCGGCAGTCTGTCCGGCGGAAGGCGCGATTGTCGAGTCAGGTGTGGCTCGACGCGTACCATTGGTGGCAAGAGCGAGGGGCCAGCGTGGCAGCCTCCGACGTCATAGACCCCAGCAGCGGCTTGTCCTCGTGGGTGGCGAAGGCCAAGCACTTCTCTTCGAAGGCTACGCACTTCTCCTACGAGAGGCGTCACCAGGTAGTGTGCCCAGTTGCACAAGAACAGAGCTACTTGACAAGAAGGATGATTCCGGAGGAAGATTATTACCTTGCGCTGGACAGCAGGCCAGCCCATGACAGGAAGTCCAGCACCAAATTTGTACTCCGATTTCTCCACGACTCTCAGTACTACGAGCTCTTCTTCTTTTTCGGGGGCAAGGACCTCGTTCTCGACTTCAGTGCTGATGCCTCCGAAGTGCCCGTGTGTTTTGAGCTTGGGCAAGGCGAGCTGGAAAGGAAGGACTCCGAGTCAGAAGTGCCACCCAGAGCCAGCGCGGGGCCGCCCCCGAAGAGGCCTCGCATCCTTCGTGCCCACTCTACTGAGGAGGCCGCTCTGTTCGGGGGCTGAAAGGAAATTGTCTCGCAGTGAGGGGTCATGGGTGACGAGTCCCAGGCTCTGCGCACGCGCACCATGACAAGTTTTGCAGGTTTCAATCGGACAATCAGGGGATGTGCTAATTTGCGGCCAACCAAAGCGTGGTGCCCCATAGGAATCTGTGAGCAGGTGGCCAGGCGGGCAGCTTTGGAACGTCGGTGTAGGGGCTAACACATACACAGCCACCATCGATCTTATCGTCGCCATGCATCGCAACACTTCGAAAATTGCCAGGGTCAGGAGGAGCACCGACATGGTCGCTGTCATCAATTTGTAGATTTCCATTTCGCTCTAATGCCGCAATGCTCCCATGTGCTAACAGGTGCTTTCTGGTGTTGACGGGCGCGACAGGTACCGTTAAAGCCATTATCACCGCTATTCTGGCTACCAGCATCGCCATCCATCCCTGATTTCATCATCGCCATCGCCAGGCCTGATGACGAACGCACGGGGCTGATCCGTTCTTAGCGTGGGGATGCATCGGGCATTGTGCACCGCCAGGCGATGCCCCGCGGCGCCCGACTGACCCTCACTCTTCGTCCCTTGTTGGACGCAGCCCATACGGCCCTTCTGCATTACCTGCACAACTGCTCTCGCTCATCTCCTTTCGCTGCCCCTTCTGTTTACCTCCTTCATAAACGCAGTTGGTATTGCATGAGAAGTTCGACTGTGTGGTCGCCACCACGAGGCAAACAGGATCAGGCAATCCGTTCCGACTGCTGTTGCTCCTGCTGGACACTACCCGCCCGCGCGCCTGTCTGAGTCTACCCGCTCCCGAGAACGGAAGCCCCCCCCAGACCGCCATTCAGGGACAGACGTCGGGCGGTGACGAGGCGGGGACGGAGCGGCGATGGCGACAGCATAGCCACCCGATCGCCGTTCAGGTCCACACGTCGGGCGGCGACGAGGCGGTGACGGGGCGGCGACGGCGCCAACATAGCCGAAAGACCGCCATGCAGGGCCAGTTCCGCAGAACATGTTAGCCAGCTCGAGCCCCATCAGTGTGTTCCAACAATAGGTGTTGTACAATCTGTGTGGAGCAATCTACGTGGTGCAGTATCGGTGTTGCACTGTAGGTTTTGCAATATCTGTTGCTTAACGCATGTTCTGCAATCTGTGTGGTGCAATCTCCGGTGTGCAACCTGTGCTGTGTAACCTCTAATGAGCAACTTTTGTTGTGCAATCCGAGTGGGGCAATGTTTGTTATGCTATCTATCAGGAGCAACTTCGTTTGTATAATCTATGAGTAACAACCTATGTAATGCAACTTTTGTTGTCCAGCCATGTGTTGTGCACGGTCGAAACTGCAATCATATGTGTGGTGCGGTCTATGTTATGCAACCCACTCTGCTGAACTTGAAGTCGTCATCTCCACTGCTCGCGCAAACACCCCACCCACCCGCCCGCAACTTGGTTTGCAAAACCTGTTAAGACCGACTACGACGACACCGACGACAACGACTAAGACGACACCGACGACATCTCCGACGACTTCGACGACGACAACGACGCCGACGCCGACGACGACGAAGACGACGACGACGACGCCAACGAAGGCGACGACGAGGGAGGAGGAAGGGCGACGACGGCGACAACGACGACAACGACGACAACGACGAGGGAGGAGGGAGGACGGCGACGACGCGAACGACGACGAAGCAGGAAGGACGGCGACGCCGACGACGACAACGACGAGGGAGGAGGGAAGACGACGACGACAACGACGACGACGACGGCGACGAAATAGGAGGGACGACGACGAGACGCCGACGACGGACGACGACGACGACGTTGGAGGAGGAGGAAGGACGACCACGGCGACAACGACGACGGAAACTTCCACGACGCCAACGAGGACGACGACGACGAACACGAGAAAAGACAACGGACGACGTAGGCGACGACAACGACGACGACGCGGGAGGCGGGAGGACGGCGACGACGACGACGACGACGACGACGACGCAAGAGCGCGCGCGCACGCTTCTGTTGAAAATCCGTGTTGCGAAACCTTGGGTTTTTGTAGGTTTTTTGGACGAACGATTTTGAAATCCTTCCGAAACCGATGGGTTTTGAAGGTTTTCGGCATACGCCCGCGACGTTGCGCGCGTCTGCACTTCGTCCCGTTTTTTGCAGAGGATTCTCGCGACGGCACACGCGCAAGGGCGTTCGACAGATTTTGACATGCGCGCGCGCGAAGCCCGTTTGGTAGCATTTTGTGAACATCTGGAAAAACCTACGGTTTTCGTAAGATTTCGCAAGAGCTCGCGCGGAAGCTTTTTTAGCAAATCAGTGTTGCGAAACCACATGTTTTTGTATGTTTTTTTGGAAACTCGATTGCGAAATCCTTCCGGCACCGACGGTTTTTGAAGGATTTCGGCATGCGCGCGCGACGACGCGCGCGTGTGCACTTCGTACCGTTTTTTGCAAGGGATTCGTGGCAACGTGTTATGTTAGAACAACAAAAGTCACCGCATAGCGGTTTTTACAAGGGAACCTCAGGGGGGGAAACCCGGCCTAGCTGGGATGATATGATTTCAGATTTAGGATGGACGAGTGTATATACACATATATATATATATATATATATATGAAATTATATCATCCCAGGGGGAAGCGATAAGTCCGGGGGGGGGTCGAGTCTATTCTCTTTTTCCCAACCCTCTTGCGTTGGGTTCTCGTTTTGAATAGAGCACTGCTCGCGCGTCTCCTCCCTTCCTTCCTTCCCTCCTTCCCCCCTGCCTTTTACCTCGCTCGTCGCTGCGTGCCAGCCTGCCTCCTACCTGGTCATCCCTGTGCCACTTTCGAGGGCTGCTGGGGGCTGCGATCTGTGAAACTGTCGCCACTTTCGAGGGCTGCTGAGGGGCACAGCACAGTGGGTACCCACCGCAGAGTCAAATTAGACCTCGCCATCCCGGGGGGGCTGCGATCTGTGAAACCGTCGCCACTTTCGAGGGCTGCTGAGGTGCACAGCACAGTGGGTACCCACCGCAGAGTCAAATTAGACCTCGCCATCCCTGGGGTGCTGCGATCTGTGAAACTGTCGCCACTCTCGAGGGCTGCTGAGGGGCACAGCACAGTGGGTACCCACCGCAGACTCAAATTAGACCTCGCCGTCCCTGGGGGGCTGCGATCTGTGAAACCGTCGCCACTTTCGAGGGCTGCCGAGGGGCACGACACAGAGGGTACCCACCGCTGACTCACACTAGACCTCGCCGTCCCTGGGGGGCTGCGATCTGTGGAACTGTCGCCACTTTCGAGGGCTGCTGAGGGGCACAGCACAGTGGGTACCCACCGCAGAGTCAAATTAGACCTCGCCATCCTTGGGGGGCTGCGATCTGTGAAACTGTCGCCACTTTCGAGGCTGCTGGGGCACAGCACAGTGGGTACCCACCGCAGAGTCAAATTAGACCTCGCCATCCCTGGGGGCCGCGATCTGTGAAACTGTCGCCACTTTCGAGGGCTGCTGAGGGGCACAGCACAGTGGGTACCCACCGCAGAGTCAAATTAGACCTCGCCATCCCTGGGGGGCTGCGATCTGTGAAACTGTCGCCACTTTCGAGGGCTGCTGAGGGGCACAGCACAGTGGGTACCCACCGCAGAGTCAAATTAGACCTCGCCATCCCTGGGGGGTTGCGATCTGTGAAACTGTCGCCACTCTCGAGGGCTGCTGAGGGGCACAGCACAGTGGGTACCCACCGCAGAGTCAAATTAGACCTCGCCATCCCTGGGGGGGCTGCGATCTGTGAAACTGTCGCCACTTTCGAGGGCTGCTGAGGGGCACAGCGCAGTGGGTACCCACCGCAGACTCAAATTAGAAGCAGCTTTCGTCCTTGTTCTCCTCTTGCAGTCACCCCCTTTGCTGCTGCCGTGCTGATGGTTCGGCTTCCCGCACGTTTTTCTCTTGCTCTGCGTTCCCGACTCCCCATGTCCTCTTCGAGCCTGTAGCTGTCGCCCCTCGACCTTGTATGGTTCTCCTGCGCATCATGCCATAGGCGCGTGTCCCAAGTAGCTTACACATCAAGTTGATTGTCCATGCAAGTTTCGGCCAACTCCTCGTTTCCATTGATACAAATGGGTTGGGTACGTCACAGGGTAATTTGAGAAGAGAATCTATGTTATGCAGTCTATGGTGTACCATTGATGTGGAGCAATGTATGGTGTGCGGTCTATTTGGTATAATATATGCTGTGCAACTGACTCTTGCTTGCAGTGAGTAGTGAAGTCCAGTGCTCGCGTAACCGTCCCACCCACCCACCCGCCACTTGGTTTGCAAAACCCATGCTGCGGCGATTGCGATGAGTGCTTGGTGTTGGGTGGTGCATTTCTGCGACCGCGCTAACCCGCGCATGCTTGCGCGCGCAGCGGCCAGCTAGTTCGGCGCGACCCACGCGGTCGCGGTGGCGCTGGCCGCTGGGCGTTTCCCAGCGGGCGCTTCAATGCGAGTCGGCGACTTGGGCGGGCGCGGTATCACGGCGACGTCGACAGCGGTAGACGCAATGATGATGGTGCCGTTGCTGGTGACGATGATGACAACGGGGGCGGCACGGCCAGTGACAGCGCTCATGCTGTTCGCGCCGACGAAGATGATGGCGATCTTTCGGTGGTGAAGGTTTTGGAAGGAGTTCGTCATGCGCGCGCGGCCGAAGCGCGATAGTGGCCCGCGGTATAAGATTTCACTCGGATCGCGCCCCCCCTCCCCAGCATGCCCGCAAGGGCGTTCGAATGATTTCGACATGCGGCGCGAGGGGCCCTTGTGGGACAAATTATTGTTTCCTTTTAAAACTATCCATTGGTGTCCTCAAGGCAAGGCCGTGGGCGCAGGCTTTCTTGGACAACGGATGTTGCAAAGCCATTAGTTGTTATATGTTTTCGGGGCACTTGGTTTTGACATCCTTACGAAACCTATTGTTTTGATGTGCGCTCGACGACGCGAGCGCGTGCGCTTCATCCGATGTCTTGCAGGATATTGC